TGGTGTTTAATAGAGGTATGCTGAGTACTGTATGTCTACATTTTGTCTGAGCAAACAAAGCGTGTCTTTGTGATCATTAAAGATCTAGTTTCCCACTGTACTAAAGAATTAGAATAAAAACAAATAGCTGGTCTTTTGTAGCTTAAAGGAATTAGGATTTCCCCTAGGCCAAATTTCCATTTGAATTGCCTGAAAGTACATGAAAATCAATGTAGCTCAATAAGCAACTTTGTGTTTAAGACATTACTAGAAGAAAAATACCACAGTATTTTCCACCTTTCTTTCATCACCATGATTTCAAAAAACAGCCAATGCCCCACCCAAACTTAGTAAACAATATACATTCTGAGATGATATTATATAATAATGAAATGGAAATTTCATGAACTCTTTAAAGTAAATTTCTTGGACAGAAATTTTGTTTTACTGTTTTTTTTTTTTAAATCAGTACACAAAACATTGTCTGGATTGCAGTTTGTCTCATTTATACTTAATAACAAAACAAAAACTCTAATTTATTGAACAGTAATTGCTAGGTGCTTTATTAAGTGCTCTATATTCTAGTATATCATTTAATTCTTACTGTCCTATGAAGTTCATAATATTCACATTTCATATAAAACATACTTAGAAAAATTAAATGACTTGCTCAAGGTCATTCAATGGTGCAACAAGGATTCAAATTCCAAAATTTGTTAAACCTTAGAATATTCTGCTTCAAAATCTTATATTTGTGTCTTATTATAGCCATTTTGCATTTGAAAAAAAGCTTGCTGAAGCTAAGAACAGTTGAGATATAAGTTATAGTAAATAAATTGCAGAACTGACTTAAAAACATATCTTTTTAAAAATTTCAAAGTCCATGCCTTTTTCATTATGTTACACTGACTTTTATAAGAAATATTTCTTAATATGTATCACAGAAGAGAAGTTCAATAATTGCTGTATGGAGAAAGAAATGAATTAATTAACAAATGAAAAGTAACTAAGCCATGCAAGGTACGGAGTCCTACAAAACATACCTATGTTTCAATGCCATAGGAAAGTAAAAATGAAAGTTAAATGAAATGGAGTATATAAAAGGAACTCCACATTTAAATCTAGCAATTTCCCAAATAAAGCAGAAATTATCAACAATGACAAAATTTTCGGATTGCAAGACCTCAAGGGGTCCTTCAAATAGGGCCACTGCCCAAGAGACTTGGTCTTGTGGGATAATGAATGGAAAGAAGTTACAAAAATACTCCCCTTCTAAAAACACTCCTTGAGCTAACAAAAGAGCAAAAAATCCCTCCAATGTTTCACACCTAAGTAATAGTAGTATTGTTAAAACTTATTGGAACAGAGTTTAAAAGTTTCTTTGGGAGCTTGTCCCAGCATTTAAATATTATTTCCAACCCAAGGTTCACCATTGTATCTAATCAACACTTATACAATACAAACCTATTTTCTCCATTTCTGTCTCCTGGAGAATTGGAAAATGCCAGTTCTAGAAGACAATTCACCCATCCAGAGAGAGCTGAGCCTTCTTTTCCTTTATAACAACTTCCATGGTAGGTCATTATTAGATGCATTACTCAATCCTCCCCAACCCTCCCTCTTCAGGTCTCAATCTCATCTATAGCCTCCAAAGCTCTCAGACACAAATGGATGACTTTAGGGGTAAATCTCTTTGACAGATGCTAAAAAGAACGGCTCTTGTGTAAGTTGTAGGTTGTAATACTCAAAATTTGGTATTTAAGATTTACTAGTACTGCACTTAAAAGTTATTGATTCTGCTTACAAACATGTGTTCAGCAGAGGCTGGCGTAGTATTTGCATTGCTTCCATGACCAATTAACGCCAGCCTCAGGCCAGTGCCATAGCAAGAAGAGAAAGCCAAACCAATCGAGCTGCCTTTCCGTGGTTACAGAGTCTGATTCCAGCTAAATACATTAACAGTGAACTTACTGAATTAGGTAATGACCAGTGCTCCCAGCTCACCGATTTGACCTTGACCTACCTCAAATCTCACCATATAGAACTATTCAAACTTAAAATGTAAAGGTAGCCGTATCCTATTCTAAGTATGCCAACTATTATTTATAGAACACTTAATTATATTCAATATATTTTTCACTCCCCTCTGGATCCTCTAAATATTTTACATCTTTCCTAGCTCATGAAAAAGAAATAGGCATATGACTATGATAATCCTTTGACCCTCGTATGGACGGTCACACATAAAGGAAGATGTCATTGTAGCCGGGCATCTTTACCAGTGCTATTAAACTGTGTTAGTAGTAAATGTTGGTGCTTACTGAATATGATTCACTCACGTAACTTCTCTTTTTCTTTATTTATAAAAGGGCCCCACTAATCCATAAATGCTTTCTGGGGAGAAAAGAAGAAATACCTACTTCAATCACATCACTGCTGAAAGTAGACTTCCCCTTGTTTCATTTTCCATCTGCATGCGCCACTACTCAAAGACTAACCCAAGAAAGGAGAGGACTTAGGACAATGAACCTGCAGGTGAATGTGGCTAGTTTGCTGCATACATGACTCATGATGAGAAGAAAATATGAACACACTAATAAAAAATATCACGATGGAGTCCTTTCAGGTAGATATGGTGGTTCAGTGAATACTCCAAATTCATAACCTATTTTACTATCAAAATGCTTCTGTATGAGCAGAGCATGAACAGAGTTTATGAAGACAGTAAGATGACTAATGAAGAATACTCTTGGCTTTCTACTGGGAATTTTTGTTTGCCTCTAACTGTTTAATTCCTCCTCCATCTCTCTTTCAATTAACCTCCCTGTTTGTATTCAATGAGATGGCACATCATAAGGAGGAAGAAAAAATCTTGCTGATTTATGAGTATTCTTTCATAACGTGGCAGCTTCTTTCATTCAGATGCATAAGTGTTGAAACTGAGAGGAAATGCACAGAACAGTAACTCTCCCAAATGTGAAAAAACACTGTGGTTTTCTGGGTTGTTTAATTAGTGGTTCACAAATGTCCCGTTAGGATTTGCTGTGGACATTTAGACAGGTAGTAAGTAGACAAGGGAAAAGCAATTGGACCTTTGTATACCAAAATTTGGAATAACTAGTTCTAATGCATAAAAGAGCAAAACAATGAATATAGGTTCTGTACATTTTTTAAAAGGTTCACATTGAAATTTATTTTTAAACTAAGCAAGTCCTTTATTTCCCACATTCTTATTCATATGGAGTATAAAAGCAGTAAAATAAAAACAATATTAAATGGAATTGTTAACTACAACAAGATGTAGTAAATTGTAATAAAAAGACCTGCTACTAACAAAAATTGTGTTTGTTCTTAAACAACGAGAGAGAGTTATTAAGAACAGCTTTTCTATGGGACACTATTATCCATGTAATACTGCCAAGGTCAGTGAGGAAAACCATGAAATGATTTGTTGAGTATAGCTGTTGGTTGGCAAGTTAAATCTGCCTATAGACAATTTTTTGGTACACCTCCTGGTTTTCAAAGCAATATACACATGTGTTGGTTGTACTTCCCAGCGTCTATATTGTCAGATATAGAACCTTTTCCCCCCTCAGATAGAATCAGTTCACTTCTTCTGACTGGGTATGGTGGTGGGGAGGTCACAAAATATGGAGGAATATGAGCAGAGGAGTATATTTCCTGTCCTGCCTCTAGTACATGGGCATTTGGGACATGGCACTGCTTGGGCATAGGTGTATTGCATTGTCCTTTGTATGGCCACAAAAAGATACACATATTCTGCCTGTCACCTTGTTTCTGTCTTAGTGTAGTTCACATGAACAACATGCTGCCACTGCCCTAGGAAGCCTGTCTTGAAGAGTAGAGGAGGGGAAAGCCGTTATCAGTGCGGATGAGCTATGAATACGTGCGTTTGCTGTTGACTTCAGTAGAAACTTTACATGTTTGCCCTGTTGCAGGCGGTAAGTTCACTGAGAATGCTGTGCAGGGAAGAGTTAACATAGCAGGGCTCATCTTTAGGATCTTGGAGGGCTGGCCCTTGGCTGGCATCAGGATACTGGATGTTCCCTACAGTTTGATGAGGTTATTTGATGAGGTTTTGCCCACACCTGCTTTTCTGGAATTGTTGCAGTTGTTGCCCACACTGGATTTTCTGGAATGCTTGTGTGGAATTGTGGTGGTTCTGGTGAACAGAGGATCTGTTTGATCCTTTTGATCTTTGAGCAGCCCCAATAAAAACCTATACCCTGAGTCTTAAATGGGCTTCTGTGGGCTTCTACACACATGCGGATGTGTTTCACGCTAGAAAAGGAGCTCCATGTGAGCTCTCCCAGTGGGGGAGAAAGAATATATTACGGGAAGCTTGTGCATGGATTTCTCCATACTCTGGTTTTATGTGTCTTTTTTCTTTTCAGATCACTGTACTAACTATAGCCACAAGTGCAACTACCTGAGTCCTGTTAGTCCTTCTAGCAGATCACCAATGTGGGGTGGTCATGATACCCTTAAAACAGATGTCTAGGGAGGTCAGTCAGATTAGAAAAAAAATCTTACATGAAGTTTGTAAAGATACAATTGTGACAATTTATAAGATGTATGTGATTTCAGTTTTACCATGACAAAATTCCTGGCTGACCAATTCCTGTAAGCAAAACAGTGAAGTATATGATACTTACAGATACAATGGAGGAAGAAACCTTTAAAGACACTGACACTCCCTGCAACAGCTTTGTTCAATTTTACCGTAAGTGCATAAAACAACATGGGGAAAGAGTGTTCCTCAAATTCTGAAATTTCTGCAGAACTCTGCCATTTATAGTTAATGCTATGCACTTTCACTGAAGTGAGGTAGAAATTTATAACTTTTACTGGATTTTTTCTAATTGAACATTTTAATTTCTGTGACTCAAATGGTAAAAGCAAAGATGCTATCTTGAAAATATGGTATTATATATGTTCTGGATACTGTTGTATCCATGATACTGTTTATGTACTAACATTTTGATCCTAAACACCTGTTTTATGTTTAGTCGTACAGATGTTCATGAATGTCATCATTTTTGAAAAAGTGTTAAGCATGTAGATTTAAGAACAGCTAGACTTGTGCATTTTATCCTACCTTATTTCTTATGGCACTACAAAATGAAGTTGTAAAAAGCCAAACATCTTTTGTAGAGACTCAATATCTGCACAAGCCTAAGAGGAATGAGTCTAGAATCTGTACTTGAAAAAAGATTTTTTATAGCAAAAATATAATTGCTATTAAGAGATGCAATGGCAGTATGGACCGTTAAGAAGTACTATTCAGTGAAAGTTCATTTATAAGTAAAATCATTAAATCTGCTTTAGGTGAGTCAGTTTTTGTGACCATCACGAAAAACAATGAATAAACAAATCTGTACCTTCTACTTGTCACACTTCTAGAAAGAACTGAATTGTTGCCATTGTAAAATGACAACTATGTTCTAAAAAATAATTCCCTTTTAAGAGAAATGCACAAAGAAAACAATGTAAAAAAAGGAGTGGAAAGCAGCGGAGGAGGCGGGCTGTTCGGCCGCACGGGGAGGGCAGACACAGAAGCGCGGGCGCCTACCGATCGTGCAGTGCTCGCCGTTCCAGCCCTGGCTGCACTCGCACTTGCCGTCCTTGCAGGTCCCGTGCTCGGCGCAGCGCGGGTGGCACGCTCTCTGGTTGCACGCGGGGCCCGTCCAGCCTTCCTCGCAGCGGCAAGTGCCCCCCATGCACACGCCGTGCGAGCCGCAGTCCACCGAACAGATTTCTGTGTCGAAACAGAGGAACAGGGCAGGAGACAGGAGTAGCAGGGGTGAGAAGGGCAATGAATAAGTAGCGCTGAATCTTTTTTTTTTTTTACTGTTAAATTGATTTTTAATTATTTCAAAATATTAAGGAGGAACAGATGTTTTGGATACATGGCTTGAGTCAGGGCTATAAATGTGCCCATCACCTGAATAGGGTTCATTGTACCTGTTAGGTGGGTTTTGCCCCCTCTTCTGCCCCCCCCCCCGTCTCCCCCCCCTCCCTGATCCCAGGGCTTGATTTCCAATGACTTTTACTCCCCTCTGTGCACATGTATGCCCAACAGTTAGTTCCAATTTATTAGAGAATCTTAAACTCAAATTTGTTAAAGTGAAAAACAATGTTGAGAGTAAGTCTAAAGTATTCGTATACTCATTTCGGCATTGACTGCTAGGGACTACCAACGACAGAATTTCACATTTTCATTCTATCATTTAATTTTATATGGTGCTGTAATCATGCATAAAATACACATACAAGTGTTATGTATAATTTTTTACCTTATATGGAAAATATTACATAGACATAATAGTCATATTTGTACATATCTATCTGAGAGTATCTGTGGGTAACCAAGAAAAGACGCCCCCCCCCTCAAATTAATGAAATCTTTCAGTATCTAAGTATCTCAGGTTGTCTAACAGGACTTGGGTTTCATACATACAGCAAGAATTGAAAAGAGGTTATTTCTAATGCTACATTAAAATTTTTTTTTTAAACATCTAGAGACTTTCTTTAAGAAGAATTTATTATAGTAAGTACATTAGCTTGCTTCTGACACACGGACATGCTGGTTAAATATAAGACACTGCTGTTTTTCCTATTCAGTAAATTTGTACTGTTGACAGACAGAATTTCTTAGCCCACATAGTAGAAACCCAGCTTAATAATATATATCATTATTGACTCTGTCATTTGAAAAACAAGGTTTTTCAGCTGCCAGAATTACTGAAAGGAGCACAAATGACCAAATAACTTCAAACACTGTGATACCAGATTAGGTCTTCAAAAAGAATTCAGATGTCTCAAATGAATTTTTTAAAAAGTTTTCTTTACAGCTTTATTTAACTAGATCAACTGAGAGACAGGGAGAAGGAACTTTGAGGGTTATTTTACTTTATTTTTTATTATTTACATATAAAGTTCACTATACTTTTTCCTTAAGATTATAAGACTATTATTTAGCTTTGGCTTTCTTGCAAAAATAAAAACACTGAACAATGAAAATCTGAAATCATTTCTAACAAATAGAAAATATACTAAGCTTTTTTTTAAAATTCAAAAATAGTAATTATTTATGTAGTCACACGTTCTTTTTTATCTCATTCACTCTCCAAATAATATTTCTTGGATACCATAATTGTCTATCTCACAGGCTAACTTTAAACACCATATCCAGGCACTATAACACTTGTAGTATTTCTTAGAAACAACATCCAGGACTATTAATTGGCAGAGAGTAGCACGTGGTTTTTTCATGTCACATTTTCTATCTCCTTTGAATTAAATTTTTGATTAAGAGATCCAAGATAGTTTGATTAATTTCAGGGCAACATAACATCAACTCAGCTGCAGAAGCGAGAGGTTTCTTTCTGAGGTACCCTTTTTATTCAATCTAATCAATTTTTCATTAGGGTAAAGGTGTTTATCAGCATTTAGCACACTAGCTTTGAGCAAGGTGCGTCAATCTTTGTAATGAACTTATTAATTAGAGTTAATTTAATTGAAGTGGAATTGAAGGGATAATTAATGGACAAACTGCTGATGAAGACAGAGAAGAGCTCTGTTGCTTTCAAACCTATAAACTTACTGAGGGAAAGAATTCATTTCTTCTCTTTTAGCAGCTTAACCAAATGTTTCTTCAGGTATAAGATCTACTTTCTTATTGAATTTAGATATCTGAAGGTCATTTCCACAACAACAGAAAAGGTAGTAAGTAAAGTATTTTCCTTTAGTTAGAAATTCAGAATTACACTGTTTGTAAACTTTAAGTCACAAATGTAAATTAACATGTTTTTATAAGCTTTAAATGAAAATTGTGCAAAAGCCAGATAAATTTGAGGCACATGAGACCAGATATTTTTACAGGGTGAACAGAAGCATATCTGAGATCTTTACTATTAATTGCACATCAGTTTTCTGTCTTTCTGTAGCTAATAGCAAAGTTTAATAAGACATTTTTCTGTACTTAACTTTCTTCAAAAGAGGAGTACTGTACTCAATGTGCCACTCTATATATTGAGAGTTTAATATATGCTAAGTTTCTGTTTTGCATTGAGAGTACAAAGATGGATAGGACAAAGATCTCTGCTCACTATGACTAAATAGTCATTTAATACACAGGTAAAATTAGATTTTCAACTAGCAAAATAATTACAGTAGCATGAAAAAAATTCAGTCTAAATATGTAAAATAATGATATGTGATTTTTGGCAGCCAATTTAATCTTTTAGTTAACATTTATGTCTTTATTTTGGTATTCACAGTAATATTTTATGAAGAGGACTGAATTACCTTTTGAGCTATTTAGTATCAATTACAAACTACCCTTTATAAAATAATTCAGGTAATATATTATAATAACTTCATATGAAACAAAAAAGGGCTATTATGCTTGTTCCTTCCTACTTGGATAATTGCGGGAAGCAAATCAGAAAGGCAATTGAAAGCAAGTATTATTTTATAGTTAGTCTTATGCCTGTTTTACTGGGAGAGGCATAGAGACCTGAACCAAACAGCTTTACTATGTAAGTAATTATGTCTATAAACTTTAATTGGATATTTTTGTGGAAAGGATTTTTTTGGCGTAGAGAAAAACTCAGCAGAAATAAGTAAATGCTTATTTTGATTCTTGTAATTAGAAAATATATTTTTTAAGAACAGAGGACAAAATAATGTGTTGTGTTAATGCACCCATGCTTGATAAATGTTGGTTGGTGATGATTTCCTAAAACTCTTTAGTGAGACATTCAAGGCTGTCTCTAATCCAGATTCCAATTTATGTTTCCAGTCTTACTTATCCTATATATATTATTTGCTCTAGTAGACATGAATTTTCTAACCAAAGTTTCTGGTTTCCCAACCTATTCAAAGGTGTATGGCCAAAAGAGGAGGAAGGAAGGATGACATAGGAAGGAAGAAAGGGAGAGAAAAAGGAAGGAAGGATAGAAATGAGAGGGGTAGGAAAGAAAGACGAAAACTCATAATCAGAGTGGGAAGGAGAAAGGAAGAAACCTTGTCTCTTCAATACTGTATCTACTTATGGGTTCAACAGAAAATTTCCACCAATATTACAAAGTAGCCTACAGAAAACCTTCAGTCTGAGCTTCCAGGATTCAATGTGTAGTAGGTGAAGAGTAGCAGAAAAATCTGTCACACTAACATTGATTCACGAAGTAGCAACGATGTCACTCAGGTTTCTCAAAAGGCCAGGAAATAGTGATTTGTAAAAATTACTTGTCTTTTTTTTCTTGCTAAAAATAAGCATCTGAATTAGCTACCTTGTAAGACTTCATTTAGTTTTATGCCATTAGATCATACTAATGGAGGAAATAATTAGCATTTCATAAATCTCGCATTTGGAGAACCATATCCAATCAAGAGTTTTATGTGGAAGCTCCTGTGAATTGATGAGGAATTAAGTATGACAAACCACAGTGAGCATTTAGGGTACTTCTACACAGTTACTAACATCATCGCCACCACTACTTCTGTTAATAATGCTTCATACTTGCTGAGTACTTACTGTGTAAGACACTATTCTAAGTGCTTTGCACTCATGAACTCATTCAAACCTTTCCACAATTGTATAAAGTAGTCCTGCTGTCATCCCCATTTTACAGACAAACACACACAGGCCCAGAGAAGTTCACTAACTTGACTAATGTCTTAGAGCTAGTCAATGGCCAGTCCGAAATGTGCACCCAGGCAGTTCAGCATCCGAGTCTATGTTCTTAACCACTTAACTGCTGAACAGCAGGTTCAGAGAAGGGGGCAATCAGTGTGGGCAGGACTGAGAGTGTGTAGATCCATTCACTGAATCTGAGCTTTATGCGGAATGTTTTCATTTACTCAACACTGCTAGTAAAATGTGTCCTTTTTCCTCCTTCCTCCTCTTTTTCCTTCCTCTTCCTCTTCTTTTTCCCCTTCTTTCTCATTTTTCCTCTCCTTTTTCTCTTCTTTTTTTGAATTATATTTTTGCTTAGACCATTTGAGTATCCCAACAGAATTTATCCTCTTCTCTATTTCAAACTTCTATTCCATCTCCTCACCTACATCCTGCCTCTCCACTCAGCCTCATCCTTTCCCAACTTTCTTGCCTCATTTAGAGATACTAACATTAGCCCCAACTTCCTTTGCTTCATAATTATAGTTCTTTCTCACCAAACTTCTATACTGTTTTTTCAGCAAGTCCCATTCTCTCTTTAAATTGTCCCTCAGATCTATCCTTTTAATTTCTATTGTCTCCAAACTAATGATCTCGTCACCTCACACTTCTATGAAAGTCTTCTACTAACTTGTCTTCTAGCCATCAAAGTTCCACTGTTCACTCTCTGATGTATCTATATGATAGTTTTCCTAAAACTAAACTCTCATCGTACTAGTGAGTGCATCATTGTTATTAGTGAATTGAGTTCTTCATTGTCTAAAACATCATTTCTAAGCTGCATTACCCATAATTGGGCCCAACCATATTTTTACCTCCAAATACTCTTTTTTCACTGTCCCATGAATACAATGATATTTCTCATGGTTGCATCTTTGCTAATAGAAGTATAGGATGAGCATCCCTTACTCAAAATGTTTGGGACCAGAAGTGTTTCAGAGTTTGAACTTTCTTCAAACTTTGGACTATTTGCAGAAGATATACCTGTGGAACATCCCTAATCCAAAAATCTGAAATCTAAAATGCTCCTGTGAGCATTTCCTTTGGGTGTCATGTTGGCATTCAAAAAGTTTCAGATTTAGGAGCTTTTGGATTTTGGATTAGGGATGCTTAACCTGTAGTAGTGGTGGTGGTGGTGGTGGTAACAGAATTTATTATGGACCAAGCTTTGTACTTAGTACTATATATATAACTTCAAGTAATTCCCCACAGCATATCTGTGAAGAATGTCCTATGATTTTATAGAAGAGTAAACTGAGGCATATAGTAATTTGCCCAAGGTTACACAGCTATCAAGGAATAGAGCTCTGGGTATGAACCCATGCATCTAATTTCATAGTCAGTGCTCTTCAGTACTTTCTGACACTTTCCCCCTAGTCAAAAAATAACCCCCTCCTAGGCTACCACCTTTAAATGAAGGCAAGAAATGTTAATCAATGTCTCCTTGAAAATTTTCAAAACTTATCAAAGTAGAATCATTTCTCTGAATGTCTACTGAATTTAGCATATTATTCCACGTAACCCTCAATGTAGTATTAAACCAGAATGTATTTGTTTCTAATTATTTCATGTGTATTCATCTCATCTCCCTTATTAAACTATAATCTACACTAGAATGGCATCTTCTCAAACTGTGACTCATAAGTGGGTGATAGAATTAGTTTATGGGTTGCAACCAGCATTTAAAAAAAAATAGACTTGAAAAAAGTATCAGTGTATATCACTTTGTAAAATGTTTGTTTCAATTATGTGAGTATATGCAGGAATACATATACACATACTAGGTCACAATGTAAAAATGTACTTAAGACTCGAGATCATGGTCAAAAAATTTGAAAGCCACTGTTCTAGAGGGCAATCACCATTTTGTTACTCTTTTATTCTTACAGGACCTATCACAAGGCCATGTACTTTAGTAAGTGCTTGACAGCAACTTGGCTGATTGAATAAAATTACTACCTGTCATTTCTAATCATATTATAATTAAAAACTCAGTGTTGAACCTTTATACATATCATAATATCTGTACATGTTTACTCTTCATTGTGATCATGTTTAGAATTATATTGTCAATTTCTTTTTCAGATTGGGGTTCTCTGTTTACAAGATAATGTGCTAAGTCATCAAGCTGTACTTAGGCCTTTAGAGAGGCTGGTTTCTATTAGTAGTTCCATAAAGTGAGAGTTAAGAAGATAGGATCTTACGCAAATGAAAGATTATTCTTCCCAGTAATACTAAAGGAGTGATTTTAATGGCAAATTGGCTAAGCCTATTTCTTTTTATAAGACAACATTTCATTACTTTTAATATTTTTTTCCATGATTACTTTACAAAAATTTGTATTAAGTTTAATAAGTGTGCTAAATAATATTAAACATTCAATTGTACTACATTTATTAACCTCACCATTGGAGCAGTCTGGGCCAGTCCAGTTAGGGTCACAAGTACAGGAGCCACTTTCTTGAAGGTATGTTCCATGACCAGAGCACTGGTCTGGACACATGGTCTTTAGTATTTCACAATTGCTACCACCCCAGCCTGGATTGCAGTGACATTCCCCATGGATACACACACCATGATTAGAACATCCAGGGTCCAGACAATCGGCTAGTGTAGAGAAAAAAGAACAACTTTATTAAATCTAGAAGATACCATAGTACATGCCGGATAAAGAATTAAATCCTAATCTAATGAACATTTTTGGATAATCAAATATTTATACACCATTTTCAAGAACTTGTTTCTGAAAATGCAGAGGACTGTAATAAAATAAAGCATTAAGGACCAGTCCAATGCCATTTAGGTAATTGGAACTCTTGCGAGGATTTGTAATTTTCATGAATTACACACACAAGCTCTTGAGGTTTCAGACTATTGCTCTCTGTTCTGCCTAATCAGAGAGTAATAAGTATTGCCTTCTCTATAACAAAATCTGTATCAGCTGACCTAATCCAAGACCACTGAGTACTGACAGCTGTATGGGATCTTCAAACTGTTTGAGAAATAAATGAGTTGCATGCTTTCTATCCTTCTTAATTCACTTTAATGTGCTTTAGATGACGAGATTTAATTTAGCAATTTGACTCAATAAAACTTTACACTTGTAGGGTCAATGGCCTGAAAATTTAATTCCAGAGACTTAATTGCATTACTTTGTGTGTGCAGATCAATAAAATCAATTTGATTGAAGAACAGAAATGGTGCTTTTTTGCTTTTTGAAAAAACAATTCGACTGCATTTTACAGGATAGTATCTTGACTCTCATCATATACAGTTATGGAACAAATCCGTGACATACTTTTTTCACTAGCATATTATGTTCGCTATTCTGTCTTTCTAGAGATGCCGAAGATTTAGATTTAGAAGCTGCCATCAATGTGAAAAACAACAAAGAGAAAAAAAACAACAGTCAACTGTTGGTTTCAAGGCACAAATGTTTGCATATTTCTCAGAGTAACGAAAAAAAAAAAAGAATTCTTCACGCTACTGAAAAAGAGCAAAGGGGCTTTTTGGTATTTGTTCTTTTTATTAGTTAAAATGCCAAAAAAACAACGCATCCCTAAATCTGGAAATCAAAATCACTTTCATAAGGAAGCATATAAAAAGAGATTCACTTGCCAAGCTAAAGATTACAGATATAATCTGTTCCTTTATGAAGATAACAACAGGCTTCTATAAATATTGACGTGTTTACCTTCCTCACAATTTTCTCCTTTGTATCCTGAGTTGCAAGCACAAGAGCCCATGATGCAAATCCCACGACCCCCACACTGCGGGTCAATGCACTGGGTCGTCGGCACATCACACTCGGTGCCCTTCCAGCCGCTGAAGCAGAGGCAGCGGCCCTTGGAGTACTGCCCGTTGCCGCTGCACAGCACCGGACAGGCTGCTGTGAAATAAAACACGACAGAAGAATTAACAGCCGCATTTTCCACCCAGATTCCGAAAGAAAAGACATCGCTGGAACAAGTGATATGCCACTTTCGCCCCCTTTCTCTCTTGTCTCGGTAGTTTTCTGAATTACTTGTGTTTCTACAGCTTATTTCTATCGGCTTACCAAAAGACTCTAACGTGCATACCTCTTGAACAATCCGGACCCAGAAATCCTGGAAAACAATGGCAAGTTCCAGAAACACACTCTCCATTTCCATGGCAATTTCGGGGGCATTCCACCACAGACTCTGAAGAAAAGAGAAAGAAGGAACACTTGTTGTATAGCCTGCCTCTTGCAAAAGATAAACTGTGTCACTTTGATCTTCATTTACACTAGATTATTCAAACAGCAAAGCGAAGCCTTGCCACTTCAAGTGCACATTTTTAAAGTGTTTTCATGATGCACTCTCCTCTCCCAAGGTAATTCCAAAAAATATTTTCTTCCAGTGCTTCGTGGGTCTGTCACATATTCTCACATCAACAAGTTAAAACTATTTCTCGCATTTTATCTGGGCTTTTACGCCCCCAACTTGGTAAAGATAATGCAGTTTCTATTCAACACAGTGTTTAGGCTGTAGCCTGCGAACAGCTCCTTTGAAGACACCGCTCTTACCTATGACAATGGTATTGAAAGACACCTGCTCTGCATTTTTCCCATCGTTATAAAAAGCCAGATGCCAGATGCCGGAGTCCAGGTACTGGATGAAGCCGGCCTCGTGCAGGCTGACGGATCTCGCCTGCCGCCCGGCCCTCTCGGACTCCAGCAGGTTCCGCTGCTCTCTCGCGATCAGCCTGCTGCCGTCCAGCAGCTCCACGAAGTCGTACTGGGGGGAGGACGAGCAAAACCGTGTCAGTCGTCAGAAATGCAACACGGCGGCTGCCTCTCTCTTTGCTTTCTTTCATCAAGCTTTTCCCCTTCGTGCGAATACGTACAACGTGAGAAAGAAGTTCCTGATTGACAGGTCCAAATGGTAGACGTCGTCTCTGCATAGCATTTACACGGAAGGGCAAAGCTACCCACCACACACCACTGCTGGATTTAAACCTCACAGCTCATTTTTTCCCCCTTATTGAGCAATATGGTTTCCAAATTTATTTCATTCTCCTGACTGATGAAAAGTTTGATGAGTGTGGAGGATGCAAACATAAAATCTCCATAAACTTACATTTCAAATCTGGCATGCTTATTTTATTTTTACTTAATTTTTTATCGAGATAGCATAGTTATACGCATATTCTGGGGGCACATGTGACATTTCGATACCTGTATATAATCTGCAATGATCAAATCAGGGTAATTGGGATTACCTTTTTCTTGTGCTGGGAAAACTGCAAATCTTCTTTTCTATTTTAACATACACAATAAATTAACTATCATTTTCCTACTGACCTATCAAATACTAAAACTTATTTCCTTCTAACTGTATGTTTGTACCCCTTAACCATCCTCTCTTTTCACCACCCTCGCCCCTTCCCTTCCCAGCCCCTGGTCATCATGCTACTCCCTGCCTCCATGAGATCCACTCTTTTAGCTCTTACCTATGAGTGAGAACGTGTAGTATTTGTCTTTCTTGTGCCTGGTTCATTTCACTTAACGCAGTGACCTCAGTTCCATCCATGTTGCCAGCAGCCTTATGTTTGTTAGACCACCAGATAATCTCGTAAGGTCTTTCTCTCTTATTTAATACTCCTGTAGTAACAACTACTGTTGAATATTTACTCTGTGCTGGGATTATTTTTAATCCTCACAGGAATCCAGGAATTAATGTTTACACTTTATTTTACTTATTTATTTATTTTTGAGATAGAGTCTCACTTTGTTGCCCAGGCTAGAGTGAGTACCGTGGTGTCAGCCTAGCTCACAGCAACCTCAAACTCCTGGGCTCAAGCAATCCTCCTGCCTCAGCCTCCCGAGTAGCTGGGACTACAGATATGCGTCACCATGCCTGGCTCATTTTTTCTATATATTTTTAGTTGTCCAATTAATTTCTTTCTATTTCTAGTAGAGATAGGGTCTTGCTCTTGCTCAGGCTGGTTTCAAACTCCTGACCTTGAGCAATCAGCCTGCCTCGGCCTCCCAGGGTGCTAGGATTACAGGCGTGAGCCACCGTGCCCAGCCAATATTTACACTTTAAAGACAAAGGGAACTGAGTCTTGAGAAGCTTCGGCAGGGTCAGCCATCTGGTGAGTGGTGGAGCTGGTCTCTGAACTCAGGTGCACTTGGCTCCAAAGCCAGGGCCATCTCCACCATGGCAGTCTGTGACCCTGTGACCACCTCAAGCACCATGGGGAAATGCACGGGCTTTTACTTAGTTACAGTTGGAGTAAAAACATGTACCAAGATGCATTTACATCTTTGATCGAAAGTCTAAAAAATTAAACAGTGGAGGGGTCCTGAAAGGGTGGTCATAACAGTAAATGTGCCCAATCACTATTATCAAGTCAGCCATCAGCAAACATAATTTTTGTTTGAGTGAGGTTAATCATGAATATTGGGTGGCTGGAAGAATTTAAATGGAGAATTTAACAAAGAATTAAAAATATGAAATGTGATTGGTAACACTGAGGTAAAATATTGTAAACAGAGATAATACAGTGAATTTGGAAGACAATGAAAAGACTTTTCAACCTAGTTTCAAGGCACTTTTTAGACAACAATTTCTTAAAAGTATAGTGGATTCAGCTTCCATAGACTTTTTCCCAGTTTTATTTTATTCCCAAGACATGTTTATGGTGAGAAGTACACTATACTACTATATATAGCTTTGAAAAATACACCCAAAAACCTTCGATTAGGATTCAAAAATTTATTTTTCATTAAATTTTACAAGGATGAAACTAACGACTGGTGTGGATAGCTGACCTGGAAAAATTTCACAGAATTCTATTCTAAAATTTTCAGAGGAAAATTAATTCAGCAGTTTTGAAAGGGTTGCTATCTCAAGCCATTCATTTCATCAGACTTAAACATTTATGTTAGCATGGCAAAGACAGGAAAAAGTTTCTTTTTATGGTCCAATGCAGATAAACATTTTTCTCCCTTAACTAAACACAGTTAGTTGAAAAAGTAAAAGGGAGGAAAATTTGAGTTTTAGTTGGTCTTTCAAGGCAAAAATCACAATAATCACTTTTATCATAGAGATCAGCATTTGCATCACACTGTTTGAACAATGAAATGAGGCTCGGGTGGTGGGTGGGCATGATGGGGGGTGGGTGGGCAGTAGCCAACAGGCTCTGAGTATTGGTCCAGTTCTAGGCTCTTCTGTATGGGGTGTTTCACACATGACTTCAGGAGAGATATTCAAATACCTAAAGAAAAGTTCTCTACTTAACACTAAAACTATTTCTACCCCAAACAACCATATTGGATGCAAATGTTTAATGACCTTTGTTATTAGGGTGTAATGTGATCACTTCAGGGCAAATGAGTTTTGCTTTGTAATATTTATTCACAAAATGGAGACATGGATTTTTTTTTGGCAGGCAGGGTGGAAGAAGTGTAGGATCCTATACTGTTTTTAGGGTGAAATTCTTTGGGCTAACTCTTCAATTACACTGCTTCGGGGGAGCTATCATGAGACAAAGCTTAAAATATAGAGAAAGAAGGGAATTTAGAGATCATCTGATGGAATTCTCTCATTTTCCTAATAGACTGTGAGGCTCAGAGACGTTTAGTGACTTGTGCAAGGTCACAAAGCGGTGACGGTGTGCTCGGAACTCAGGATTCTGGCTCCTATTCTTGAACAGCCTTCATGCAGGTGCACCGAAATGCCACAGGACACTTAGCCATAAAGTGCTCAATGGCTTCTGTGGGCCTCTAACTGTCCGGGAGAAAGAACTGGGCGTTGGGGAAAAGAAAGGCCACTGCTTCCTTGGCAGCAACCAAGTGGACAGTTTTGTAAAGAGTCACTAAGACTTTCAAAACTCGAGTGACCATTCTGAATGGCTGGCCAATTTTAATTATTTCAGGTTGATTTATTTAACATTCCCCAGAAACGGAGAAATGTTCAATTTGGACTGCTTTATAGAATATTTCATATTTAAACACTGAACTCAGAAACAGCTGTTTGCTCTGCTGATCTTGAATAAACCAGAGGAAGGAACTATAATAATAGCTGTGAAGCTTGAGAAAATGCATAACCTACTTAAACACATATATTGTGGCAGAAAAGTGGGTATCACATGTGTTGTGTTTAAATACTGAAAGGACTATGAGAAAACCTGAAACTGCACCTTTTATTTCTCTAATCTTATATGTTACATACAACTTACAAAGAATCAACCCCAAATCTTTAAATAAACCTTTCAAGTGCACAATGGACCATTTTTATCTGAAATTATTTTCTGGAATTTGTAAGCTACATGCTCACTATTGTGCTCAGCTTAGAGAGATATACTTCTTAAATTATACACAGATAATGTATAATCGCCATGTCTGTGGTTTCAGTGGAAAATATTTTTTCACATTTTACTAGATAATTGCTATAAATGCAATCTACTATAATTAAAGTTATAGAGGTCCACTTCCATTTAAGAAAATCTGGTTATTATATCCTAGTCATTGTCACCTATAACATGAACTGGAGTCAAATCTAAAATTTAAAATTGGACACTAGTACATAATAAGAAGTATTTGATGTATAAGGATCAAAGACATTTACCTTAATGATATAGATATGAAAAATGTTAAATAAGAAAAATGAATATGCTAAAGCCTGACACTCAAAAATTTCACAGACATAAAATTTATATATGTATATGAACCAGATCCACAATTACATTAGAGAAAGGATGTTTAAATTTTCTTGCTCATCTTTCTTTAAAGATATAATTTCTCTATTAGTATATGATAACTTTTCTTCATAATTTGTCTTCCAAGGTTATAGAAAAAACATTTCTCACATTACATAATAAAAAGCATACATGCAATTCTTATTTTATAAATCAAATCAAATTAGCATGAAATCCATGGGTAAATAAACTAATTATTAAATATAACTTTAAGGTCACTCAACTGTCAATTTTAATTAACCAATTATTATAGTTTTGAAATTCCTCTATTTACAAACATAATAGTTGGTCTTGGGAAAAGTCTCAGTTCCAATTTTATGGTAGGGAATTTAAATAATTTCTCTTAAACATGATGGAACCTATTTTAAGCCACAATTTCCAATTCACACACTATGACCTGGTACTGTATCAGATTATGGAAAAGCTTATTGGTGACCGTTATTGTGAAGGAAATTTTATGCCAGGGAACTGATTTCAAAATTCCTTGAGATTTAGGATTATTTGAGTTGTTCTGAGGACCACACTGATGTGATCACATTTGGTTATCTATGAAAGCCCTTTTGCCTCTTTATTTCAGTGCCAATGACTTTAGGTGAGGAATAGTAGCTTGAGTTGATAAAGTTCATACCATCATATTTATGTTTATGTTCCCATAATTTCTTTATTAAGAATAAATCTGACATAAGTTAAAAATATATTTTGAACAGAATGAACACATGTTTGAGATGAATTTGTTATGCACTGGTTACATGAAAGGAATAAGAGCATCTGAAATCATCATAGAAATCTTCTTAAAACACTTAGAACATCCATGGGGTTTTACGAGGTGCTCAGATGATGTTCAGTATTCACTGAGTTACTCACAAAATTTAGTACACTTGAATTAGTCAATAATGATCAAAGCAAGTCAGAAAGAAAATATCATCCTTCCTGCCACTGATGCACAAATATCTCAAAGTATGTGTAACCTATATTCAAAATTCTTTCTACTATAAAAGGTCCATTCAAGAGTAGTCCAACAATTAACCAAACATCTGAACTTAGGAAGAAATGAAATAAGTTAAAAAACGCAACTAGCAGTTTTCATTTTATTGATGGCAAAGCCTAATCTTACCTGAGTGTGGGAAGGGGGTAAGCCTTTTCGGCCATATACTCCGATCAATGCATCCTTCTGAAGAGAGATATTGAATTTAAGAAACTGTGGCTGATCAATAAAGAGCTGTGATCTCCAGAAGATCCCGGGAGGAACCTCTTGAATTGCTCTTCGGCCAATATCAAGTTCTCCGGAATCTATGGTGTTGTTTTCTTGTGTAAATCCACCCAATTTTCCTGGATGTAAGAGATCCACTGATGAAGAATGAAAGATTTTTAAAAAATAAAACAAAACAGGCTTTTGAAATTCTTGAAAAAGTTCTTTTTACCAAATGCTCAGACACTTCATCCTTTTATCATAAAACGTTCTCATAAAATTTTTACTTTAAAATCTTTTTTTGTTAGATATTACTTTTTTACTAATTCTGATTTAGCACATTCTTTAAGATACTCAAGTCAAAATCCTTAGACTCCCCCCAAGGTATGCCTATTACTAAAGCTGTTTTCACACCTACAGTCTTTCTTTTTCACTTGAAACATAATTATCTTACAAATTATTTGTCTTGTTATTTCTTGGGAGGGATTTAGTCTAGTACTTGTCAGTCATTCTAAACATACCATAACACTGCAAAGTGTAAATTAAGGCAGTATGGATTATGGAGATTTACAAATCAATTCTTAAACAAACAACAAAACCAATCAATGCCACTGATTCATGTAGTTCTCTCTAAACTTTATACAAGAGTGAATGAAAAATCAGATGCTGGAAGGGAAATGGAGAGGGTGTCGTAGGAACATTGTGAGGAGAAAGGAAGGAGGGATAAGCTTGAATTCTCACAAAGTTTTTGATGTAGGCTGTCCTGACTCCTGTGCTGCTCCTCACCTGGCCTTTAATCCCTGGGAACAAAACCTCTCTGCTCTCGGATCTCTGTCATTTCTTAGAGACCATCCCCTCTTTACCTGCACAGCCCGCATTCTAGAAAACAGATCTAAGACTACTCTCTTTTTGGTACGGTGTCTCCCTTTTCCCTCTTTGCCAAGATTCCTTCCCAGTTCCTCTGAGGGAGTTAGTGACAATTTGCCGTAAGTGGAAATGGAACCACATTGTCTCTTGTGCAGAAAGGGTCCCCAAAGGCTGAGGAACAGAATGCAATGGGGCAAATTATCCTCTGACAATTCAACACTTTAAAAGTGATAGCAAAGTTGACTCACTACCAACTTGTCTTTTCCTCACATTAAGCTGAATATAAATACAGAGAAGTTGTTAATTCAAAGTTTAGAGGACATTAATTTCAGGTCTGAGAGTTGTAAATTATCTTAATGACAGAGGAAACAGTCTTCTGACTGTCTGTGAAGGGCTATTACATTAACACTGAGTGTATTTTTACTGTGTGTCTACTAGGCACAGCACTATGGGTGATAAAAAGAAACATAAACTAAGGAGTAGAGTCTGAGAGATGCTATAGCTTCTGCCACCAATCAGCTAATTACCTGGTTGGGGAGACAACACTCAAAGTGATAATTCAATGAGCACCTAAAGCAATACATGACCAAAGGTCAGAGGACGGTGGTATTACTACACACTGGAGGCTGAAAGATTTCCCTGCAGAGGTAAGTGCTGAGGAACCCGTGGAAGGACAGGCAGGACAAGGTTTCTGGGTTGGGGTATGTATCACGCTCACAAGCACGGCAGTGGAACTAGACAGGTGTTAGGGTGACGGTGAGCACAAGAATCCATCTGGCCAGGAAAGAAGTTAAGAAAACTGGGTTTGGAGTCAGACAAACCTGGGTTTGAACCCTGGCTCTGTCACTAAATAGCTGTTTGACCTTAAGGAAGATACCAAACCTCATCTAGCAATGCAATCAGTAGACCCTTCCTTGTAAGGACTACACGGGGTACGATACATGAAGTGCCGATTGCAGTGTGCGGCCCTCAGTTAGTACTGAATTGGTTTGTCGTGGGAGGTAACGGGATATGAGGTTGCAAAGGGAAAACGGCATCAGTTTATGGAGAACCTTGAATACCATGTTAAAGAATATGGTCTTTATTCATGACGTGATTTTTTTGTATTTTGTATTTTCATTCCATCAAAGAGCGTTATTACACCCTTTTCCCTGAAGATGTATACATTTATAGCATTCTGTTACTGTGCATATCCTGTATGGTATGTTTTAAAAAGACATGCTTACAGAAGACTTATTATGGGTAAACTGCATTTCAATGGCACAAAGGCACTTGTTTTTGTGTTGCTGTGCATGTGTGTGTTTGTAATCAAGAGAAACAGAATTCGAAATTGCTAAGAAAAATGCCCTGCAACCACAGGGGAGTAAGGCAGACACCCAGTGCATGGCCGCTGGGATCTGATGCAGCCTACAACGAATTCACACTTACAGATAAATGAGAGGTCTGAGGCAGAGTTTATTACCAGTAAATGTTAGGATTGCTTTCTACTTGGACTACTGCATCCTACAATGACACGTGTACCATCGGTTACAAAGGACAGCGATTGCTAAATGGAGACCCATTAAGGGTTCTGAGCAGGCTAAAGGTGAAATGAAATCATTGTTTCAGGAACATTAAAGTGCAGTAGTGTGGGAAGCCTGCAGTGGACAGATGAGTGAGGACACAGTTGCAATAACCCGGGTGAGGCAGAGGGGGCTGTAGAAGGAAGCTTAATAAAAAGACATTATTTACAGTCTCACTTCCTCTCTTCTCTCCCAATGTCCATAATCACGGCAGTTTATAACCCTTCAGGTATCGAGTCTACCTTTCTTGAATGAATTTAGTAATATAAAATGCTCTAAGGAATAAAATTTCAAAATCGAATTATAGTAAGTAATCATTGTAAGTTTCCATGTATCAACTTAGATTATGAACTATGCATCATTCATAGATATCTTAAATATTTATTTTACAATAATATTTGTTTTAGCAAAATCAGAACATACAGTTAAGTAAAAAGAGAAAAAATATATAATCCTATCACTGAGCAATTATTTTGCTTTCTATCTAAACAAATATCTTGCTTTACTCGTAGAAATTTTTAAATATCTGAGACCAGATATTCTACTTTTCAGTTAGCATGCAGAGAAGCCTTCATTTGTCATCAATTAGCCTTTTTTGAGATAATTGAGGGAGAGAGCAAGAAATGGAGTTAATCTTTAGTGAGAACCCATGACATAACAGGTAAGTTCACCTATATTATTTGTTTTAAATTTTAAAGCAATTCCAGGAGGTTGATGTCATTTTAAGATGAAGAAACTAAAGCCCAGATAAATAAACAATGTGATCAAAATAAGTGGTACAGTCAAGACTCAGATCAAGGTCTGCATGATTCCAAAACCATTTGTTTTAAATAATTATCTATAGAATCTTTGCTTTTTATTAAAACAAAAATATTGTTTGCAATTACTAAGTTTTAAATTTACTTGTCTATTTCATATAAAATCAGATATATTAACTCATTGAACCACACTAGAGAATCTACTTATAATTTTAGGATATAAAGTTATACTTATTTTTATTAGAAAGGAATGTCCAGTTTGTACAAAACAAAAACTGCCATGGATACTACAACACAGCATTCTTTATATTAAAATTTATAACAAGTTCCAACTAAGCTTTTGTCTTTTGATTGGCTTCCACATGAAACTATTTTTAAAGTACTGAATAGAACAGTAATTTTTTCCTCAGTAAGATCTGTTAGTACATATATAATATTTAAATGTGAATATGGTTTATATTTGAACTCATTCAAGTTTATACATTTCTAAGGCTTTATTGTTATACTTTATTGTTATTAACAAGCTCTATCAGTACTGTCTAAACCTTATGTAATTTAATCTATTCTGTGGTGTTGATCCTATCTATTGCTGCTCTAAATGGTTTTTAGCTGTTTTAATAGCATACCTTTGCTTTGAAAGCTGGGAAGCATAAACTGGTGCTAATCCCAGAATTTTTTTTTTTTTCCAAAACATTATCTTTACTCAATAACATTAGCTTTTATAATAGTAATCAAGTTCTGACTTTATTGTCATTTGGTAATAGTAACCAAGTAAATCAAGAAAAAATGAGCCAGACTTTTTCTGGCAAAAAGTAAATTTGATTTTAATGAGTATTGGCTCTGCCAGTTAAATTATATAATGGGTATTTCCCATAAATTAATTACTAGTAATCAAGTATTTGGTAATTACTACTTGGTAATAATAATCAAGTTCTGACTATAATAGGCATTTTGCTTTGTTGCTTTCTCCATATATTGATTTCGAGGGGTTAAAACCTCTCACTGAAATGATATAAGGACCCATTATTGTCAATAGTGTATCTATTTATTCAATTAGTCCCTCAGCTAATTTAACAGGTGGCTCTTTTTCAGAAAGAGGGTTCTTAATTTGTAAAACAAAACAATGAAGGTTGATTGGAAGTGCTTGAATGGGGCAGTAGTAATTGTGATAATCTTTTTTTCTCCTGTAATGAAAAAGCCTAATTAATCACAACATCGCAGAATTTTAGAGGTCAAGTTCCCACGGGGTCACCTACTTCAGGGGTCTTCAAACAAGGGTTGTCATAATCCTAGGGTACATTAAGACTTTTCAGTGAGAAATGGGGTAGCTCATTTTAATAGAATTTCTAGAACCTCAACAACTTCCATATGTAGACTTTATTCACAAAAGAATTGCATACCTCTCACATACCTAGAATTTTACTATGACACATTATCTTGGAGCACAAAGCTTCCAGTGTGCCAAAGGCAAAATTTAAAGTATTTTTGTCGGTAAAGCTTCCTTTATTCAAGACACCATAAATTCAAGGTAGGGCTTCATTGTCTTTCCCTGTCTTACATGTATTTTTATCAAGAGCAAAGTATGGAATTAAAAATAGGATATTTAGGATTGCTGGCATGTTTTGAAATCAGATATATCAAAAAGGAGGGATTACATTTTTAATGACCTTATCACCCACCCCTAACAATTGCCAAAGAAAGCTTTCACCTACAGAAGAGTTTCATGATTACAAGGAGAATGTCAATAAATTAAGAAATATTAAATGCAGTGATGCCTTATTTATTCTAATTGTCAAGTTTATGGCAGAGATTTGTGCTTTATTTCTTTCTCTGCCTATCTACCTAGAGCAGGAATTCAGATCTGAGATGGCTGTAAGCAAAATGTAGATTAATTTATGTAAACTGAAAAAATAAGTCAGACTTTTCTGGCAAAAATGAAATTTGATAAGTACTGGCTTTGCCAGTTAAGTT